TGGTGATTTTATCCTTAATATTTAATATGTTTTCTCTTGGTTGAATCAAAACATTATTTATTTTTTAACCCTTGAATGCGAATCTTTGTTCACACTATTGTAATCATGTCTATTATAATATTCGTGACGATTATGCAATGCATTTGATGGTTCATAATTGCATCGCCCAAGTAATAATATTAAGAATGAAACTTTCAAGGAACTAATTTTTGAAAAAGCCCGAAAATTTGGCGGAGTTGGAAAATAAGTCCTTGATATTTTTATTGAACCTCTTTTCCATGTACAGAATTAATAAAAAATTTCCTTTTACCAATGTACCTATGTTGATTTTTACCTTTGACATTTCTTATTATTATAAATATTTAATGTTAACAAAACAAATACACAGTCATTATGGTATATATTGGAAATTAGTAGTTTAGGCTCGTTTGTTTGATAAAGCTGTTATAATAAATACTGCCTGCCTAATACCTGCATTAAGTTTTCTTCTTATGGATTATTGATTTTGAATCTTTGGTTTGTTAACACATTATAAAACAACTGAGCAAGACTTGGCCTTTTCATTTGCTAGAATGGTTACTGAAGTCTGCAAGTTACCTGGGGGAAAAGGAGTTGTTGCTCTCACCTTTAAAAAAACTTCTATCAGCAAAGAGAAAATCCTAGAAAGAAAAATGATAAAAGAAATTCAGAAAGAGTCAATAAGGAAAAAGGACAATAATATGGATAATGATATTTCGTGCCAGAAAGTGACACTAGGTAATAGGAATAGTGAGGCATTGGATAATGCAATTGAATATTTAGAAATTAAGGTTCAAAACGAGGATTAGAATTGTAAAGAGCTACTCGTCATAAAAAGTCACAAATCCAAAGGCTGCTGCAAACACAATGCAATTGGAGATTTTTTGAAAAACAAAATGATCATTCGTTGATAAATAATGATAGCGTAAGTAGTGATATAAATGAAAACATTATTCAGGCTCGCGAACTTGACTCAAAACCATTGATGAGTATTACCTCACTCTGACGCGGATCTATTAATAAGGTAAAAAATCTAAATCAATTAATAAACAAATTAATTTTTAAACAACTAAATCAAGGGAAGTGGTGACTCAAATAACTTTTTTCCTTGGTGATTTTCTTTTTTTTAACGCACTTAATTTAATTAGTGTTGTTATTTTTGAAATTTATTATTATTTGCTCCCCCCAATAAATAAATATTTAATTAATTACAAAATTATAAAATTATTTTGAAAACTTTGACTTCTTATTTTGACCATTTTCTTTTGCCATTAAATTTTTTCGCTTAACCTAAAATTATATTCAAAGGATTAATATATTTTGATAGAATAATAACAATAATAACAATAATAATAATAAAATAGTAATAATTCTCGAATATTTACAGAGCTCACTAATAAAGATAAACTTGGATCTTTAAATGGTCCCGTTGACGAAGAAGAAGGAAAATTCCCAGTTGAATTTTGCTAAAGATCAAATGAATGAATTCAAAAATTAATTAAGCAAATAAATTATATTAATGCATATTTATATTTATATATCGTATACCTTAGAATTTATATCATTATCATTAAATTCAGATTGACGTTTTTGACGCTCTTCCATCAATTTTCTCATGTTTTTAGTCTTTTTAAAACTATATAAATATATATATTAAGGAAATAAGATGAATAAATGCATGAGTTTATGTATCACGTGAATAAAGATAAAGGATACTGAGGGCTAGTAGGATCTATGGCAAAGTGATATGAGTCGTGTAAAGCAACAAATCGTGTGTCTTCCAAATCAATTTCGAAATTATCATTCTCCTCCTGCTGCTCCAGCCGAGTGTTTTTTTCTTTCTTTTTTCCCTTTTTTTTTTCTTTTTTAGCAATTTCTTTCATATCGAAATGTCTGTGTACAACATCCCCATCACCAACTAAGTTATCTTCATCATCCATCAACAATAATTCTAATTCTGCTCTATTACGATCGGCCTCTTGTTGTTCTAGTTTTGAAAGTTTGTGTGTATTTTTTTTTGATTTTTTTTTGGATAATTTTGTAACATTAAATCTTGTTTTGGTAATTTCATCATCATCACTGTCATATTTTTCCTTATTCTTTTTATACTTGTTATTTTCTAATAATTTTCCTTGTTGTTTTAAAATTTTCTTTTCTTCCTTATTACTATTATTTTTATTAATACCTAACAACATTTCATCTTCATTATCATCTGAATCATTGTGTGAATCATTTAATGTAGCGGATTCACTTAAACCAGGTGCAAATGTGATCTGAATATCTTGATCTTCATCTGATTTATTTTTTTCTAAATCAATTAATAGGTCCTTATATTTTTGCCTTGCCTCTTCAACCTCATTATCTGATTCTTCCTCTTCGCTAGATGAAGCAAGATATGACTTAAAGTCCATTAATTCCAAATCATTTTTTGAAAATTTTTGTTTAATTATTTTTACACGATCAGGATCATCATTGTCCCATGTTAACTTCACATTAGAATGTTGCAATGCCTATTTTGTTTGATTTCATATTTATTGTTTAAAAGATTCAATGAGTTTAAAATTATAAAGTAATATAAAAATATACCTTACATCAGTCACAAAATCAACTGGTTTATAAACATCCGGCACTTGATAACATTCATCCCTATAATAAATTTTTTATAATAATTAATTATTATTAAAAAAAAAAAAGATTCTGTTATTTTAATTCATAAAATTAATTAATTAATTAATTAATAAATAAATTATTAATAATACTTTGGTAAATCATTGAACTCCACATCATCAGGAATAAAGCGTAAATCAAAAAAATTTCCAGTGCTTTCAAATTCTACGCCATCACAGTTTTGATAAATGCACTTGGCAGTCTTGACTGAGTCACAATCAACAACTGCATAATAGTACTTTAACCTTTCTAATTGATACTTTCTCAACGCATCTTCATCAAACTCCTTGCCATCACTCACATTTATTATGTTCTTTTCAGTAACCTCGCCGTCATTGTCATCATCATTTGAATCATCACCTGATTCATTTAAATTAGAATCATCGGTTTTTTTAAATATTTCTTTTGGTGGTCCTTCAACCGTTTCCTTTAAAAAAAAAATCAAATTATTTAATATATAATACATTAATGAATGTTATTTATTTGATTATTATAATTGTAATTACGAATAATCACCCTATCTAATCTTTTTTTGCCAAATTCAGAAGGATATATTTTAACAGATTTTATCAATGAACCTTTAGGTACAAATGTAGCGAAAACTTTCATAAGGTCTGCTGATTTTATATTATCCCAATCCATATTTATAACCGCTAATCGAAGAGTTTCTTCCCCATATGTAATTTGCTCTTCTTCTTCAATAAGCTCTGAATTACCACTGTGGGTTGGCTCATCATCATCACCAGAAGAAGAAGAATCTGATGACAATATATCAGAAACATCATCATCTTCAGAAGGAGATGACGATGAATCAGAAACATCTAATTGATCATCATCCAAATTGTAATATCTTTTTAATTCTTTTGCTGAATCATCAATTGTTTTCAATCGTCCACGTTTATCGAACTTTGCTTTTAAGTAAAAATCAATTATGATCGTAATAATTAATACGAAATGTAAAAGATTATGGATGATGGTGATAAGTGATACTAACAAAATACGCCAAACTCCTTGGAATTGAGCATATCAGAAAAACGTTCATCTACAGTTATTTTCATATCCTTTTTTTTAGGACGTCTAAACCTTGGATCTGTAAGTGAGTGAGCGAAACGCGGGTCTTCAATTGCTGCTGTTGTTGCTGGTTTGGTATTTTTTTTGGCATTTTTCTTCCTTGTGTTATCGTTATTATTTCTTGAAATTGAGTTATTTTCCGACATTTTCAAAAAATTTATTTCAATATTTGTGTCGCACAAGATTTGAGTCTAATTTATAGATCATTTTTAAAGGCTAGTTTTAACACAGGTGAATCTAATTCAGAAAAGCTATTGTTACATATATCTATATATATTTTTAATAAAATTTTTTTTTAACAATAAAAGTCTGAACCATTTGTTATTACATGGAAATTTCCATCAAGTTAAATTGATGATTATCAAATTAAACATTATGGACAGGATTGTTCAATTATTGTTACTTTACCCATATGATGGTAAATATTTATGATAGTTATCATTATTATCATCATTATACATGTAATTGGTTATTTTAAGAAAAATCATTTGGAAACCCCAACTAAAATTACACTATACCTATAAATGAAGTGGCTAGAGTAGATAAACTCCGTGAATTTGGATCTGGTGATATTTTGAATAAGCGTGTAAGTTACAAAATTAATGGTGGATTATAGCCACATTGTGATTGCCTTTGGCAATAAATCTGATATGATGAATTTATTGGTTTTCTTGTGTGGGTGACGAGAATACATATTCTACAAATTGATCTTTGACGTCTGGTTGGAAATTTACTTATTCTTGTCATCCCACACCAATGCCGAAGGGATGATACATATGGTGGTATATAAACGGTGAATGAACCTCGTCTTTGCGGTTTCCATACTTTAAAGGGCGTGGGCAGTGGCTGTTTATATACACTTAACATCATACGTGGATTCTACTAAGGTTATATTTCCCTAGCTAGCTTGCTTTTCTTGAAAATTATATGAAAAAAGAAAACCAATCTGATCACGCGTATATATGATTGATCATCTATCTTTTATATTTTCAATTAATAATTTTTCATCTTTCGTTTTCTAGATTTCTGAGGCATTTGATTATATCCGTTCATCATTAGAA